ATAGATACATAGATAAATATAAACAGATAGATAGATTACATATGTACTTTTTATATAACTTTCAGAAGCTAATGATATGGTTTATTTCCCATTATTGCAGGTCAACATATCACCCTGTGGTATTGCTTTTGTGCCTGCAAGTGTCAGGAGGGGTGTCCTTCCTAAGATGCTGGAGGAGATTTTGAATACAAGGATAATGGTAGGTATTTTTAAATGGTATATGTTTAGCACATATAGACTGAAGAAGAAGAAAGGTGTTCTGTAGTTTTTATGCTTCTTTAATACTGTTTTTAATAATTTGATAGTATAATTTTTTCACATCTTGTTTCCAGGTGAAGAGGATGATGAAAGTGTACAAAAACGACACATCCCTTCAACGTGTGCTCCACTCTCGCCAACTGGGGTTGAAGCTCATTGCCAATGTAACGTATGGTTACACCAGTGCAAACTTCTCTGGCCGCATGCCTTGTTCTGAGGTGAGATGGAGTTTAATGCAAATTGAAGGTCTAATCACATGCTTTTTTGCTCACTGGTTATAGAGGCTATAGTGAATGGTGATTTATGAGTACTTATAAGTGTACTCATAATGATATAATGATTTTTACAAATTTCATACAATATCATACCAGTAGTTTTTGGCCCTAAGATAGTGACGTAGATAATATATCAATAACAGGTAGACGATACAGTGATAAAGATGAGCTAAAGACTGATAGAGTAATTAACAGAATGTAAAAAATGACAGTTTTCAACTAGTTCCTATGCTACTTTTAGGTGGGTGACAGTGTTGTGAGCAAAGGTCGCGAGACCCTAGAGCGATGCATCCAGTTCATCAATTCGAACAAAGCTTGGAAGGCCCATGTTGTGTATGGAGACACAGATTCCCTCTTTGTCCATCTGCCAGGCCGTACAAAGGACCAGGCATTTGTCATCGGCAGCGAAATTGCTGAACAGGTGACGCAGATGTACCCCAAGCCAGTCAAACTTAAGTTTGAAAAGGTCTATCTACCTTGTATTCTGCAGGTAAGTTTTTCTTTTTCTTTTTCTTTATATCATTTTATTTGTTATCCCTGCTTTTTTTTTTCTCCTCTCTTCTTCTTCGTCTTCTTCTTCTTCTTCTTCTTCTTCTTCTTCTTCTTCTTCTTCTTCTTCCTCCTCCTCCTCCTCGCCTTTCTGCATCTGATATTGATTGATTATATTATCCAATTATCAGAAATTTTAATTTTTATCTTCCCAACAGACAAAAAAGCGGTACGTTGGCTACATGTACGAGACTCGAGACCAACGTGATCCTGAGTATGACGCAAAAGGCATTGAAACTGTGCGGAGGGATGGTTGTCCTGCCATTGCCAAAGTAAGCATGGGAACTCTTTGTCTTTTGAGACTTTTTGGATGCTATATTGCCAATGAGTTTTCAAATTAGAGTATAGGGTCTGTGTGACTTTTATTAATGTTGTTGTTAGGCTTGTAGTAGTGAGTTCAGTAATATCATTTCCTTTTTTTATTGTGAACGTACATGAATGGATCTCATTGATTTTTTTTATATCACTAGTAGTTCACCTTTTTAGTGTCTTATTCAATTTAACTTAAAAGATTTGATAATACTTTGCCAGTATTCAGCATTAGCATCAGTAAGTTTTAACATTAGGGTAAAACTTTTCTCAGATCCTTGAGAAATCCCTGCGGCTGCTCTTTGAAACAAAGGACGTCTCACAAGTGAAGGACTTTGTACAGAGGCAGTTTGTTAAGATTCTCCAGGGAAAGGTATCCATCCAAGATTACATATTTGCCAAGGAATACAGAGGAGTCAAGGGATACAAGCCTGGAGCAACTGTCCCAGCCTTAGAGCTAGCAAGGTATGTGTGTGTGTGTGTGTGTGTGTGTGGCTTTTGGGCTGGGACTGTGGTTAAACATATGGAATATTTTATTGATAATCTTAAGCGTTTGATATTTAGATGGTGAAATGCATTAAAGATATCAAGATTGTGAAAATTCTTCAGTGCACCTTTATAAATACTTTTATTTTATTTGCCTGAGGAAAAAAAATGCAAAAGATAATTTACTTAAAGATTTCACAAATAACTGTGAGACATTTGTCAAGGTTTATGAATATTTGAACTTGGATCTGCAGACAATGGACACGAAAAGATCGCAGGAGAGAACCCAGGACAGGAGAGCGTGTCCCATATGTTATCGTGTATGGTGCTCCTGGATTACCTCTTATTCAGCTGGTGCGATCTCCAAAAAATGTCCTATTGGATCCTGCCCTTCGCATCAACTCCATCTATTACATCACCCGAGCTATCATTCCCCCTTTGGAGAGGTGCTTCTCTCTCCTTGGAGTAGATGTTAATTTGTGGTAAGTTCTAGAGAACAGTTGTTTAGCTGCCGTATTTCTAGTGTAGGTCTTGTGCAGTTATCTTAATTCTAGTGTAGGTTATTAGTAATCTTAATTACAGTGTTAGTTTTTATGTTGTGGAAATATATTTCTGTTTCTACTCTAATATATGGGTACACAAGATTTGTGATTTGTGACCTGTTGGAAGTGTTGCTGATATTTGTGATTTACTTTTTTCATTGCAGGTACAATGATTTACCAAGACCAGCAGCCCAGCAAAATAAAGCAATAGTAGCTGAAGCCAGTCATGGAACCCTTGTGAAATCTGTTGCTTCACATAATTCGCGTGGAATGTCTATTGCACGATACTTCACACCCGTGTCCTGCGTTGCTTGTGGGGCAACCACCATGACGGCTCCAACATCTCAGGGACCTGGACTCTGTCCAGATTGTAAGACTAAACCACAGACTACTGTTTTGTGTCTTAATGAAAAAATACGGTCCTATGAAAGGGCACTGGAACATCTAGGAAAGGTTTGTGTTTTTACAGTTTCCTTGTTTTGAATGCGTATATTTTAAAACTACATTTGTGTCAGGCCCCTAATTATTCCTTAGCTATAGGAGAAAGGAAGATAATTATTTCCAGGCATTGTATTCGTATATTTTCTTCATATTAAATCAAAGTAATAGGTATTCTTCTTTGTAATTGCTATTGTAAGTATGCAGTTTCATGTGTTCTCTGACAAGATTTTTTTTTATGCCTACAGGTCTGTGAAGGCTGTTTGGGTTGTCACGTCACTGATATTGAGTGCATTTCCTTGGATTGCCCTGTTACATACAAGCGAGAAGAAGCCAGACAAGAACATATGCTTGCTTCTCAGCTTCAGAAAGTGGTTCAAAATGTTGTCGAGGCAGGAAGTACAAGTCCTGTGTGATTATTGTATGGTGATGAAGGTTTATCCATTGTATTTGGTATTTGCCTTTTTTTTTAATGGGGGGAAGGGGACATTCTCATGGAAAGCCTGTAGTAAATTGGGAACACATACTTTTGTGAAGTCTTATGAATGAATAAACACAGATATACATGTGTAAGCCAGATAAACACAAATACTCAATGATGGTTGAAAAAAAATTGGTGTACTGGAAAATAGGTTAAAAACTGGGTGTTAGAATTTAATTTTCTTTGTTTTTTCAATAACTTTCTTGGTTTTTGAAATGTTTTGTCTCATTTACTTTTTTGTTTTGTTTATGAGGCAGTGTACAATTAAGAACTGTCTGTCTCATCTGTAATAGGTTTATTTTAGTGTAAGAAGAGATGGAAGCCCGGTAAGTTAGATTTTGTTGCCTGTTGAGAGTTTAATATAAAAAAGAAAAAAAATTGTGGATTGTCCTGATTATGAAATCATACTGTTAGATACTCTGATCGATAAGGTAAAAGGGTAAAGATTTTTAGGTTTACTGTTTTGTGATCTCATTTTGACCTTTGTTGATTGTATCTTATGTAAATATTTGTATTTATCTTTCTACTGTGTGAAGCCTCTGTTTTGAAGATAATCTTTTAGAGATTGATAACAAAGTGAATATGTATGGTAATAAAAGTGTACAATAATGAATAAAACAATACCTTAAATGTTGTGACTGACTTTTGAAAAAACAACATTCATGTGGGTTATTGAATCTTTGACAAACATACTACATGCAGCTATTTTAGCATGGTCCTGCAATATATTATGTAATATTAATTGTAATCATCAAATGAATAATGAGAACAAAATCATTATGATACCAGTTTAATTGTTATTTTTAAAAATTCTTTTTAAGTTTTATTATGATTATGTAATTTTTTGTTTTTTAATCAAGTATAGGTTTTACATTACTTGTCGACAACTCTGTCACAGGGTATGTAAAACCCCTGTACTCGTTTGTTACCATTGAATATTTTCAAATGTTATTACTTAAGTTTTGTGTTCAGTGTTATAGTACAAATGTATTTTGGATTTTAGTCGTGGCGTCTTTTTTTTTCTGTTTTGTTTTTCCTTATTTTAGGCTTTATACAGTATATAACTATCCTCAAATGCAGAAAAGTGTCCAAGGGAAATAACAGTATTTTGTTAGTTGTGGTTCCAGATATGAAAAGATCGTAGAAGGTGGATGTGAAATTTATTTGGGAATAAATAAAAAGACACAAGTATTTCTTGAATTTTTATAGAGGCATTTTTTGCATGGTGTGGCTCAAAATGGGAGTGAAATTGGAGTTTTTTTCACATTATTTATCATCTTGTTTTTAAAAATCAAATGATTTTAATCTCTTCTCTTTCCTTCCTTTTAAAGCATGCATCATTGATACATATCTTTTATGGTCTTTTAATGCTTTCTCTTCATTCTTTCTCTTTCGTACTCTTTTATCTCATCTCTCTCATTTTCTCATATTCTCTTTCTTCTCCTTTGTAAGTCTATTTTTATCCCATATTTGGAAGATTGTGTCTGCCAATAATTAAAGTACAATTCCTTTCCTTTATTTTCCCTTTTCCGATGAGTTATCACCGATTGTATATTTTTAATAACTGCAATTTCGGAGTTTGAGCAAGGTTTTATCGTGTGCATTCAAGTGTCACAAATGTGATTTATGTGATATGATCAGTCAATTTAACCTGTAAATATTCTTTTTATTAATGATAAATTATTTTTATTTCAATTGATTATACAGTCTTGGCATTCATAATGTATGGTTTTATTGACTGCTTCTATCACAGTTGTAAAGTGTACACTATGCAAAACTATGAATATATAGTAATATAATGTACAGTATAGTATTTATGAATGTATATGGTGTAACTTTTTTACTGTTGATTAAAGGTTGGACGTTTTTAATTATTGGTTTTCAGTCGCAGTCCTTCAACAGTACTCAGATAATGAAGAACAGATCTTCTTCATCAGTTTGGACATGAAATGAAAAACTGATTGTCTGCATAAAAGCTATTATGGAAGTAAATAGCTGTAGTTAAAAGATTTTTCCTGAAAAAAACAAATTAGGTCATATTTACTTTTATTGACAAACAGTGATAATAATAATTATGTTGGCTGTCACTTTGGAATTTAAAATCACATTTTTTCTCTAAAATGAGAAATGCATAGCTAGAAAAAATATTTATGCGGGTCCAAAAGTACATGTATTTCTCTGCCCCATCTGAAACAGTCAGTGAGTGTGACATTGATGAGTGCGTCCTGAGTGAGTGTAACATGGTGAGTACGTCCTTGGTGAGTGTGTCCTTGGGTGCAACATTGGTGAGTACATCCTAGATGAGTGCGTCCTTGGTGAGTGTGACAGTGTTGAGTGCGACAGTGGTGTGTCCTAGGTGAGTGCGACATTGGTGTGTCCTAAGTGAGTGCGACATTGGTGAGTGCATCCTAGGTGAGTGCGACATTGGTGAGTGTGTCCTAGGTGAGTATGACAGTGGTGTGTCCTTGGTGAGTGCGTCCTTTGTGAGTGCGTCCTTGGTGAGTGCGTCCTTGGTGAGTGCGTCCTAGGTGAGTGTGTCCTTGGTGAGTGTGTCCTAGGTCAGTGCGTCCTAGGTCAGTGCATCCTTGGTGAGTGCGACATTGATAAGTGCATTCTAGGTGTGTCCTTGATGAGTGCGACATTGGTGAGTGTGTCCTAGGTAAGTGTGACATTGGTGAGAGTGTCCTTGGTGAGTGCTACAGTGGTGTGTCCTAGGTGAGTGCGACATTGGTGAGTGCGTCCTAGGTGAGTGTGTCCTTGGTGAGTGCGACATTGGTGAGTGCGTCCTAGGTGAGTGTGTCCTTGGTGAGTGCGACATTGGTGAGTGCGTCCTAGATGAGTGCGACAGTGGTGAGTGCGTCCTTGGTGAATGCGTCCTAGATGAGTGCGACAGTGGTGAGTCCTTGGTGAGTGCGTCCTAGGTGAGTGCATTCTTGGTGAGTACGACAGTGGTGTGTCCTTGGTGAGTGCGTCTAGGTGAGTGCGTCCTTGGTGAGTGCGTCCTTGGTGAGTGCTTCCTAGGTGAGTGCATCCTTGGTGAGTGTGTCCTAGGTGAGTGCATCCTAGGTGAGTGCATCCTTGGTGAGTGCGTCCTTGGTGAGTGCGTCCTAGGTGAGTGCGTCCTTGGTGAGTGCGTCCTAGGTGAGTGCGTCCTAGGTGAGTGCGTCCTAGGTGAGTGCATCCTTGGTGAGTGCGTCCTAGATGAGTGCGTCCTAGATGAGTGCGACAGTGGTGAGTGCGTCCTTGGTGAGTGCGTCCTAGGTGAGTGCGACAGTGGTGAGTGCGTCCTTGGTGAGTGCGTCCTAGGTGAGTGCGTCCTAGGTGAGTGCGTCCTTGGTGAGTGCGTCCTAGGTGAGTGCGTCCTTTGTCAGTGCGTCCTAGATGAGTGCGTCCTAGATGAGTGCGACAGTGGTGAGTGCGTCCTTGGGGAGTGCGTCCTAGGTGAGTGCGTCCTTGGTGAGTGCGACAGTGGTGAGTGCGTCCTTGGTGAGTGTGACAGTGGTGAGTGCGTCCTTGGTGAGTGCGACAGTGGTGAGTCCTTGGTGAGTGCGTCCTAGATGAGTGCGACAGTGGTGAGTATGTCCTTGGTGAGTGCGTCCTTGGTGAGTTCGTCCTTGGTGACTGCGACAGTGCGACGTTATTTGGTCCAGCGTGATACCCAAACGTCGGTTGAAATACAAAACTACTATGTAAAGCCCCGGCTGTTACCCCCCCCCCCCCCCCCCCCGCGCCCAGCTACTTGGCACCGGATATTGGACATTAGTTATATTCTAAAAAGAAAAAAGAAAGTGGTTCCAAAGCTTTTTCTCAATCTGTTACTCCAATATGTAACAAACTCCATGGCCCCGTTCAGTGTTTGTCATCATCAGTTATTACTTGTTATAAATAGTGTAATGGTGTCAATGGCATTACTATTGTCATTACCATATCTTTATCATTGTCACTGGCATTACTATTGTCATTACCATATCTTTATCATTGTCACTGGCATTACTATTGTCATTACCATATCTTTATCATTGTCACTGGCATTACTATTGTCATTACCATATCTTTATCATTGTCACTGGCATTACTATTGTCATTACCATATCTTTATCATTGTCACTGGCATTACTATTGTCATTACCATATCTTTATCATTGTCACTGGCATTACTATTGTCATTACCATATCTTTATCATTGTCACTGGCATTACTATTGTCATTACCATATCTTTATCATTGTCACTGGCATTACTATTGTCATTACCATATCTTTATCATTGTCACTGGCATTACTATTGTCATTACCATATCTTTATCATTGTCACTGGCATTACTATTGTCATTACCATATCTTTATCATTGTCACTGGCATTACTATTGTCATTACCATATCTTTATCATTGTCACTGGCATTACTATTGTCATTACCATATCTTTATCATTGTCACTGGCATTACTATTGTCATTACCATATCTTTATCATTGTCACTGGCATTACTATTGTCATTACCATATCTTTATCATTGTCACTGGCATTACTATTGTCATTACCATATCTTTATCATTGTCACTGGCATTACTATTGTCATTACCATATCTTTATCATTGTCACTGGCATTACTATTGTCATTACCATATCTTTATCATTGTCACTGGCATTACTATTGTCATTACCATATCTTTATCATTGTCACTGGCATTACTATTGTCATTACCATATCTTTATCATTGTCACTGGCATTACTATTGTCATTACCATATCTTTATCATTGTCACTGGCATTACTATTGTCATTACCATATCTTTATCATTGTCACTGGCATTACTATTGTCATTACCATATCTTTATCATTGTCACTGGCATTACTATTGTCATTACCATATCTTTATCATTGATCACTGGTATTACTATTGTCATTACCATATCTTTATCATTGTCACTGGCATTACTATTGTCATTACCATATTTTTATCATTGTCACTGGCATTACTATTGCCATTACCATATCTTTATCATTGTCACTGGCATTACTATTGTCATTACCATATCTTTATCATTGTCACTGGCATTACTATTGTCATTACCATATCTTTATCATTGTCACTGGCATTACTATTGTCATTACCATATCTTTATCATTGTCACTGGCATTACTATTGTCATTACCATATCTTTATCATTGTCACTGGCATTACTATTGTCATTACCATATCTTTATCATTGTCACTGGCATTACTATTGTCATTACCATATCTTTATCATTGTCACTGGCATTACTATTGTCATTACCATATCTTTATCATTGTCACTGGCATTACTATTGTCATTACCATATCTTTATCATTGTCACTGGCATTACTATTGTCATTACCATATCTTTATCATTGTCACTGGCATTACTATTGTCATTACCATATCTTTATCATTGTCACTGGCATTACTATTGTCATTACCATATCTTTATCATTGTCACTGGCATTACTATTGTCATTACCATATCTTTATCATTGTCACTGGCATTACTATTGTCATTACCATATCTTTATCATTGTCACTGGCATTACTATTGTCATTACCATATCTTTATCATTGTCACTGGCATTACTATTGTCATTACCATATCTTTATCATTGTCACTGGCATTACTATTGTCATTACCATATCTTTATCATTGTCACTGGCATTACTATTGTCATTACCATATCTTTATCATTGTCACTGGCATTACTATTGTCATTACCATATCTTTATCATTGTCACTGGCATTACTATTGTCATTACCATATCTTTATCATTGTCACTGGCATTACTATTGTCATTACCATATCTTTATCATTGTCACTGGCATTACTATTGTCATTACCATATCTTTATCATTGTCACTGGCATTACTATTGTCATTACCATATCTTTATCATTGTCACTGGCATTACTATTGTCATTACCATATCTTTATCATTGTCACTGGCATTACTATTGTCATTACCATATCTTTATCATTGTCACTGGCATTACTATTGTCATTACCATATCTTTATCATTGTCACTGGCATTACTATTGTCATTACCATATCTTTATCATTGTCACTGGCATTACTATTGTCATTACCATATCTTTATCATTGTCACTGGCATTACTATTGTCATTACCATATCTTTATCATTGTCACTGGTATTACTATTGTCATTACCATATCTTTATCATTGTCACTGGCATTACTATTGTCATTACCATATCTTTATCATTGTCACTGGCATTACTATTGTCATTACCACTGTCATTGTCATTGCTATTATCATTATTTTATTTCTCACTTTTAGTACACATACTTTATTTGAGTGGGCATATGTTCTTTAGAGTCCCCGAACTTGACTGGAGAGTACCGCGCGACCTCACCCATGTCTAGTCTAAAATCCAAACTCCAGCGTCTTATCAAGACTCGTTAGAACAACCTATGCAATATCATTGACATCCAACCTATGCATATCATTGACAGCAATGGCGACCAAGCAGGGGCGAGAACTTCCTTTGGGACAAGTTATGTTTGGAAAGCCCCACCCTCGGATCCAATAGCGACCACCATGAGCTCACATAATCTCAGAAATGTTAATGATTGGACGTGCTTTGCATTAAATCAGATGTAAATAAATCAATCTCGCTGGTTAATTTGTTTTATCAGTGAGTTGTTCGGACTGAGAGGCTTTTCAACAACTATATGAGTCGGCTCATTATATCCCCTACCACTGTGTAAGTTGAAAGGTTATAAAGAATCTATAATAGCCAGTTCATATGAACAGTGATATGCAATAATTCGTCGCGGGAAATTACGTTTGTCAAGTAATGGTACTCAGTGGCAGAGTTTATTTTCACAAGAAATGCTCTTGGTATATCATGGGGTATGTTTCTTTCCATAGATTTTTAGTAACTACTTATTTTAGCATAAGTAAAATATTTTCAGCCACAACATGATTCGTACAAGGGACAAATACTGTGTACAGTTGTAAATGAGTTTCGTATATTATATAATCCCACTACAATTCTGCACAAATATCTTTAGCTTATTTGGAGGCCTCCTTGAAAAGTTTGAAGAGGTTCGGCTCCCTCTCAAGGACCTCCACAAGGTCTTTCTAGTTGTTTTTTCGAATCAAGGATACATCCCTCTTGAATCCTTTCAGCTGCCCAAGATAAACGTACGGTACCCTACAATATATTTGCGTGAGTGCGTAACAGGAAGCAGTCAATGGCTTCCAGATGACTGGAATGATATCGACATTCCTAAAAGCATGGTTATGCGTGTGACTTACGGTAAAATTTGTGCATTAGCTAATAAAAATTGTAATTCAGTGATGGAGAACGTCCGAATACGAAATTGGAAGAGTCTGGCCATAATGACTATTCACCATCGTCGCCTCCGCCTACAGAAAGAGCGACTTTAACAGTAGAATTGAAAACTGTCTGCAGAGGTGGCGCTTATTGTCGAGGAAGCTGCCCAAACAAGCCATGTCTGGAAGTCCAAAACCATTGCTTCTCAAACAGGAGCAAATTTATAAATTTATCCCCTGGGGATAGAAATTCACAGGGGGCAAATCTACATTAATATAGGGGTGGGATAATGCGACGGAAATTCCCGAGCAATTATTTAATTTAATTACACTTCGTTGCGCTATTTAAAGTAAACTGCTCGATTCAGTAAATCCATGAATATCTCACTGATAGAGTTTCTGGCATTTGTGCCTGAACATTTTTCCCCAATCAAGAGGACAGTAAGTCTGTTTCGTCCACCAGAATTTTATGTAAAATCTGTATGATATAGTGTTTCCTTATATTCTATGCATTTTTCTGCCAGCAATTTCTTTTCTTCAACAGAAGTAAGTATGTAAAGGACCAATAGTATCCAGCCGAGTAAATAAATGACAAAAGAAGGGAGAGGAATCCCTGACTTCGACAGTGGCGTTGGAAAAGTACCTCGACATACCAGCAATACCCCCCATCATGATATCCAATATCGATGGCCAATACTTTGAGGCCTGAGGCTCTGGATTTCGGCATCGTATAAAAAAGCGGGCAATATTCCATACAAAATATCTAATATATAGACCTTGATTCAGTTGTTAAATCACCATGTATATAAATGACAGAATGCAAATATTTTCTTATGAAGCCTCCAAATGAATCGATAAAATGAGATAATCAGGAAAAATATGAAAGCGTGAGGAAGGAGGAAGGGTGGCGGTGATTTCCGATTGTTGTTCTATTTTTGGGTCATATATTTGAATTATGAATTTTTAAGGTCATGTTTTTTTCTCCTCTGCGGATATATGGATATATACTCTTGGAAGAATTATTTCTTTTTTATTTCCCTTCGATTTTAGTCTATGTTTAAGCTATGTTCACAGTCACCAGTGTGTTGATTTGTCTCTCATTTGATGGCATGTTCATTAATCTAAAAACTGAGAGCATTCGTAGTGACTTTAGCATCTAATGTCACTGTTGGGTCTATAATAATATTTTAGTAGTACATATGCGTTCTCGAAGGTAGTCGACGGCAAGCCTAGATGATTTCTTAAAATATAACCAATGTCTGGTCCATGTTTAGAGCATGAGGATGATAGTAATGTTAATAATACTATTATTGTTGTTATTATTAATGTAATTATCATTTCCATGATATTGCTATTGATGGCATTATTGCTATTGTTGTTATAATCATGATTATCATTGCTACTGCATAAAGATGATATAAATAATAGTAGTAAAACTAATAATTATATTGACATTAATACAGCAGTAGCTATCATTATCATCATATTTGTTATTATTATTATTTTCATTATTGTTGTAGTTATTATTATTGTTGATATTATTATTATTATCATTAACATTCTTGTTTTTATCATTACTTCTATTATTATTGGATTATTATTATCTTTATTATTCTATCATTATTATCGTTAGCACCATAATCATTATTATTATCATCAATGTTATTGTTACTGGTATCATTATGATATTCACTAGCATTATCATCATTATTATCATTATCATTATTACTATTATCATTATTGATATTGTTATTATCGTTATTATTTTCATTATTATTATCATTACCACTACTATTATTATTTTTATTATTATTGTTGTTATTAATATTATTATTACTGTTATTAATATTATTATTATTGTTATTAATATTATTATTATTGTTATTGATATTATTGTTATCAATATTATTATTGTTATCAATATTATTAATATTATTATCATTACCATTATCAATATTATCATTATTATTATTTTTGTTTATATTGTTATTATTATCATTATTATTTTTTTTATTTATATTGTTATTATTATCATTATTATCTTTTATCTATATTGTTATTATTACTATTATTATTATTATCATTATTTTTATTGTTGCAGTTAATGTCATCTATAATTTCAATATTATTATTTTTTATTATCATTGTAGTGATGATGATGATAAGCATTATCTATATAATCAAGAGCATTATCGTCATCGTCATCATCATCAGCATCATGATGATAGTGATAATGATTATCATTATTACTATTACAGTTATCATTATTATTATAATTATTATTATTATTATTATTATTATGATTATTATTATTATTATGATTATTATTATTATTATGATTATTATTATTATTATGATTATTATGATTATTATTATTATTATGATTATTATTATTATTATTATTATTATAATTATTATGATTATTATTATTACTACTACTACTACTACTACTACTACTATTATTATTATTATTATCATATTTGTTATTGTTAATGTTAACCTTATGATTATCCTTAATATTTTAATTAGTATCAGTACTATTACTTTATTATAACTGACTCACTTATTATTTCGTCACCTGCTGAGATAAGTTGCCTGTCTCATTTTTGCAAAATTTGAAGAGAGCAAAAAACCAATTTAATTTATTCAATATCTACCCTTTATTGTTGAGATCGGCTAAATGCATCTTGTTTAATGTTCTTGTTATTTCAGTGACTTAGGTAGTTTTACAGTAGGTGCCCCATGTGTGTAGGAGGTTAGTTAGGTAAAAAAAAGTTTGGCAATTATCTTAGCAGGGTGACGATTTGTAATATCACCGTTATTACTAGTATTATTTCATTGCTTTCAGTCACCATCTTTATTATTTTTGTTTTCTTGCTAATATCGTCACCATCATGTCTACGTTATTTTTTTCTTAAAACGTTATTACCATCTTCAACCGCCTTTAAATAATGCATAAGACTGTGTAAAACGGCAACTTCAGCCCACGTCTCCTAATCACCTAATTACCTGAACTTTTTTTGCGGTTGTTTGGGTGACCCGAGCGATCCCCTGTTCCCCCCCCCCCCCCCAACCTCCCCCCATCCATCCGTGAGATATGGGAGGGGGCAGGACCAAGGGAAAGTTTAGTCTTGCTGGATTTGAAGATATTATAGATATATACTTTTTCTTAGTGTATTAATTCAGTAGGAATTGTACTGGGATTTAGTGGAGCAAGAAGCTGAAGGGAAAGATGTGTTATGTTTGTGGGCGCGTAGGTACTGGTGTATACTCTGCCATATATAAGAATAGGGTCTTAATTACCTCTTTATTGTAGTACGTGTGTTTACATATTTTCTTTACAATTCGTACATAAAGCCATTGTTTTAATCACTACAGTAATATGATTTGAAAGTTTGATCATCCTTTAACAGTCGTAATCTCCAAGAAATGATTCGTCCTGTCTTGCCCCCGTCCCCTTCACTCCCCCTTTGCCCCTCCCCCTCCTCCACACTGTCCTTAGTTCCTTCATTCAATAAATATTTCTAATCTTCGTGGCCAAGCCTTTATTTTGACTTGAACTCCCGGTGCGTCGGAATCTCCGTTTAGCGCGCTTTTTCCGCGGTGGGTTTTGGATACAAAAGGAAAAGGGTGTGCTCGTGTGGGTCAGTGTCAGCGTAGTAATAGCAGTTTCTGTTGCCATTTTCCTTTGGAAAAAACCTGGAGATGCAAACTGCAACGGTCCACCAACTCTTTCGCCCGGTGGAATCCACAACGAGTACTGCCTCCACGGCGGCGGTCATCACTACCACGCTGGACAGTGACGACTTCGTTCCGACGACTATCTCTACCATGGTGGAGGACATCGAGCAAATCGACGATCCTTGGCCCATGTGGATCAGTCTGCTGCCTGGCGTGGCGCTGCTGTCCCTCACGTTGGCCCTCGTGTGGTTCGTGGCCTCCAGGCCTGAGGCAAGGTTAGTTGTATTCCAAAAAAACAGAACATTTAGGGAAGTTTTCATTTACATTATCTCTTCATCTACCTATCTATCGATATCTCATGAAATACCTCCAGGAATGTCGACATTCCGTTGGCGTG